GAGACCTCTCTTGCTGGTGTCTTTCGTTTCTGTTTCTTTTTCGTGATGGATTATAGAAGAGAGTTATGGTATGCACGATGCATACTTACGCAGAGAGGGACAAGAGTTTATTGAACTTGAAGACGTGTGTAGGTCTCTGGGAGCGGGAAGGAAGACAGTTTTTTGGGCGCATGGGGGAAATTGCCTATGAATTGTCATATGCAAATTGATTGTTCGCGCGCGGAATAAGCTTTTTAGATGTTGATTCTCGAAAAATACGGTTGACACGAGCCAAAGTAAGCCGAGATTTCCAACAATCACAACAACCATTCTCACTCGATGCTTATCTGAAAACGCACATCGCCAAGTGTAGATAGGACTGCAAGCTTTTCTACGATCAGCTGATATGTACTTTAGCAACAACGTGCGTCCATTAGTAAAAGCGGCGAGGTTTGGCTTTCAAAAGGGCCTTTCATCCTTTATCGTCCACTTGCTCGCGAACCTTTGATTAAATTACCGAACGTGCGCAAGTGCTCCTCGCCGTGCTTTCTGATAAAACGCTATGTACCTAGACTTTGCAATTTTTCTCCTTTTACGAATTTCGCCGCAAATTTCAGTTTGTATTACAGCAGAAAAATACTTATTCTACCGTTATTTCTCTCCGCGAATCGCTATACTTATCAGGCAATATCAATGATTACCTTTCGCAAGGGAATTGAAAGAAAAACCAGCTAGAATCGAAGCTGACGAAAGACAAATATTATCTGGCACGTCTACACATACATGCACGAGCACGATCACGACCAAACAATAATGCTCTCTCGGCGGCAAGTGGAACACGCAATTGTCTGTCAATTAGCCCGGGCGCTGCTACCCAGACTCGTCATATTCCCTCGACGTGTATATATGCATCTGCTTTAAGCTCAAGGTCTCTTTCCCAAGCCATCGCGGCACAGAAAAGCAGGCGACGGCGCGGCAATGGCAAATTATTCGACTCTCGACCACCCAAACAACTGTTATTGTCAATCAAAAGCTGCGCGCTCGTCTTTAACGATCGGATCACGTACGCAGCTAAAGGTTGAGGAATCGATTTGTCATACACCAGAGGTTACATTCCATCCGACTGCTACTGACAAATGATCGGAACAACGACGACTATTTTTCCCTTTCCACGATGTAATTGTGCGCGTTAAGGGATTTATAATGTGTATACGTGTGTGCAATGGATCGTGCGTGAAAAATGCTGTTTTAACGTTCTACGTGTATACGTGCGCAGTTAAGGTTCTCTCTCGACTGAATTGTTGCAATGTTACTTTTTCTTTTTTTTCTTTTCGCGATTCATTGTGTTGGTTGAATCTTCTTGACTGATTATTATTCTCAAGCTTTATCGCTTATCCGTTTGAAGCTTTCATAAATCTGCGTATTTACCAAAGATGTATCGTCATCGGCGTGCATTAATCTCTAATCCATGAAAAAACAATTATTTTCATGAGAAAGACAGTGACGTCCCATCGAAAGCCAGTCGCAAATAAATTAAAGAAGCAAGCGAAAGGGAGAAGAGCAGAGAGGAAAAAAAAAACAAGAAGCCAGGGATGGAAAATCGGTGATTTAGTGTTAATTGAGTCAGAGCAGAGGCCAAAATAACGCGATGTACTACCTCCATAAAGGATACCATTTCGATGCTTTACTGCCTTCGATGTTTCGCGACACAACGTCGTCGTCGTCGACGTTGTCGTAGAAAGATCCTTCTGTGGCGCCTCGTCGATCTCTAACTGGACGCTATACTGTCTCGATGCGAATTTTTCTGGACTTTTCCCTCGCTTCGACGTCTCGTACGTTACACAAAGTACAATCGGCGTATCCACAAGGAAACATCACGCAGCTTTCGGAAATGCCCGTGATAAGCCTTCCGCGGGTGAATCGCGCGCTTAGCCGGTGCGAATCGCGCGTTGAAAGAGGAAGGCGCTCAGTTGCGAAAAGCAATCAGAGCTGAGAATAATCGGTGACGCGACGCGCGCGGCGCACGTAAAAGTTCAGTTGTCAAATGTCCCGAACGAGCTGCTTGTCGGGTCAGAGTCTACAACGTATCGGTGATGCACGCGCGAATGCTCGAGCGAATGGTTTATCTGCTGACAAGTCTGCTGAATTAGATTTAGTGTCTTGGCTAATTGACCTTGGTGCTGAGATGTTAATGCAAAAACTGATAATGATAGACTCGCTTCTGATTGAATCACGCGAGATCGAGAGAAGCTCACCGGCAATAAATCAATTATCGCTGCTCATTGAGGAAAATCTATATTTAATCGAATCGACGGCACTTGACCCGACAGGTCGCGGTCTGCCACCGCTTCCCTGAATTGAAAATTACCGACGGCGTGATGCCTCGAGACCTCTTCTGCTCGACACGACCGCGTGTACTTTCCGTGTGCCGTCTGTTACGCTGCTGCTTAACAGAGCTGAGGCTGGTTACGACAATGATTTTACGAATGTTTTTCATCGAGTTATGCTCCAAGCCCTCAACGTTTCCGCGTGCGGAGGAAGTCCAAAGAACATTTTATATTGAAAATCTAATGCTCCGTCTAGCGCATAATGTCCCGATTCCCGGGGAAATTTATGCGTTAATTTAATTTTCCGTTCAACCAACGCGTGTAAAAGACAAACAATCCGTGCCAGAGCTAGACCGACGGTCAGGTCGAGCTATCGGGGCAGCGGGCGTGCATTTTCTACGTCAGCAGAGTAATTAAACCGAAATTATCATACGCAAATTAATCAACTACTTGGAGAAATATCCAATTGCGGCCGGCAAAATCTGAGCGTATAATGATAAAAGTATCGAAAGCCGAACAACGAGGGGACCCCATTATGAATAATTCAGCCAGAGCAGCCATTATGAATTATCGTTGATCGGGGTGCTGTCCCCACGTCGAGTCATTAATTTTCTCATAGTTCGTTTAATTTGGTTTTCTCCGTGGTCTCGCGACCTTCGAACTATGAGAAAAGAGCCAGTTGCATTTGTATGCTAAGCGCGACGCGCAACCCTTCATTTTTACCGGATGGAAGAGGAAGGGCTCTGATGCAGCGGCAGGAGTGCTCAAAGCTGGAGCTCGACCGGCAACAACGTATTTATAAAGCCTTTCTTGCAATATTCGCACAATCATCATTAGTACGCTGCAATTATCCTCGTATCTGAAGCTGCGTTTGCATCGGAGCTTATTTAAATTACATGCCGCTCAAGTTTCAAGTGAACGGCTTTTACGTGCAACTCGTGTAAAGTACAAACTTGAAAAGACGCCAGGTGTAAGTTGTCGATTATTACGTTAGCGTTGCATCTCGATTGCGTAAGTGCTGTTTGTAAACACACCTTTCCCCTTCGCACAACCTGTTTCTCAAAACGAAAGAGAGAAAAGAAAAAAAAAACTATTTTCTCTTGCGCGTTCTCGCAAAACATGTATTCGCCGGAACTTCGTGGTTTGTTTTTGTTTTCCTAAACCGCAGATAAATTGAAAGCTGCTTTAGAAAGCATCGGAAACGACGTCGCGCTTCAATCTGCAACGTTGATCTCACCAATAAAACATTGAATTATCGGTGATACTTCGCAGGGGCACTCGTTTTATCATCGAGGGAAAAGTCGTGATTATATAGCTATGCGCACTGAGAGAGTTGAGGGGGTTATACGAGTTTGGATGCGTTGGCATGCTGCCGGATCGTGTCGGCCGTAGCCGCAGCGCGGATCGTACAGCTCGCACACTCGAAAACTAACTACCCCGTATTTCGCGTACATAACACATGCGCAGTGTCGTTCGAACTACTTTGCAATCGATTGCTGTCGCTCGCCGCCTTATATCTTCCGTTCGCGCACACGAAGACAAACAATTTATTGCGCTACGACCCATTTTCGAAAAATAATTTACGGCGGCATCAATCAATAACGCGCGCGTAGGTGGCGGCGGCCCGAAGTCACAGTCCGCGGTGCATCTAGCTTGAGCTTTTAAAGTCCGCAACGGCTCACTTCGGCCGTTATAGCTAATTTTAAGCGCTCGCAACCTTGAATGCTACAATAAAACTTTATTGGCGCGAAGACTCGAGCTCGCGAAAGTATAGGTTTCTCGGGGAAATAAACGCGCAGGCACACAAACAACGCATTTATCGATCACGAAATGTACCTCTATTGCAGTTTTCATCGGGTACCGATCTGAAGATACGTGACGTGGCAGCCGTCGAAACGATAGAATAAGCTTTGCAAATACTGCGCGAACTAGGAAGAAAAAGCATAAGGAGAAAGGAGAAAAACAGTCGATTGTGAATTGTCGAAATGAAGCTTTGAACAATTATTGCAGAAGTATGATCAATCTAACGTTTCCCTCTCGGAAATCATCTAAGTGACCGTTTCTTTTTATCGTTTGGACGTTCACCTCGCGATCAGCTCGCAAGCTTGAGAAACGCGTTTATTGTAAGAAAAAAAAAACAGAAGAGGCTCTCATTTAAACGACACTTTAATGTACATGCAAATAAAGCAAGTAACGACAATGCAACGTCAATGAAAAGGCTTTTCTTCTGCGACTGGTTAGCGAAGCCTCGGTGCATTGGGATTCTCACAGTTCTAGCCTGATTTTTGCCGAGAGCACGCGTCCGATTTCGCAGTGGCGATAATCAGCTTATTAGCTCGCGGACAATTCGATCCTCTCCTCTTTGCCATGCATTGCTCTCCCGCCGCTCTTGTCACCTAACTACTACTATTACTACTACTGCTGCCACTACTATTACTACTACGATACTACTACTACTACTATTACTACTATACTACTACTACTACTATTACTACTATACTACTACTACTACTACTACTACTACTACTACTACTACTACTACTACTACTACTACTACTACTACTACTACTACTACTACTACTACTACTACTACTACTCCTTTAACGTCCGAAGATGAGTGAGTGAGAGAGGTGGCTGGTCTCTTCGGCACTGCTCCGCCAGCAATTAAAGTCCAGTCAGTCGTGAACAATAGCGCTTACCGCAAGCACAACTGTTATATGTCTGCCGACCCTCGTTGTGAGTACCACTCATGCTTCTCTTCTTTTTTCCATTCGTATTACTCAAGGGCGGGAGAATTATATACGCTAGAGAGCGCTAATATGGGCTCATTATTGTTATTATTCTTTATTTTTTTTTTATTTTTTTATTTTTTTTTCATTTTATTTTATTTTGAGACTTGGCCTTGTGCGAACAAGATTTGCTTTGAATTTCGTAGTGTGGATTTTTATGAACTTCGTGCTTGTTGTAATAACGAAGGGTGGTTTGAAGTATTGATTTCAAATAACTGTTACAAACCCAGATATTCGAAAATACATTTTAGATCATATCGGGGTTCGATAGAGGAACTCGCGTCCACTTTGGGTCGATCAGGGAACGCCGTTGTTCTGTCGATGAAGATTATGAATTCAATCGTTGAAAATATTCTATTCGTTATTTAGAAATTAATTGAAAGTCTCAACTTTATTTTGCGTTACAAACACTTTACAATGAAAACATTAATTTCATTTATCGATCATAGAACCATAAATAAATATAAATATTGAGATGTTTTTTTTCATATGGTTTCTCTCACTTTTTTGTCGTCTCCATAGAATTTCTATGGGTTTCTTCTTTTCTGTGTTATTCTCTTAGGGATCATGGGAAAATCTTGCTCCGAGTATAAAAGCTAGTGAAAGAGAGAAGAGATTGTTTGAATTTGAAAGAAGATATTATTGGAAAATGGATATTCCCACGTTGTCCTTGCTCTTGACGTCATTGATCTCACATCTTGCTTACTCGCGCGCATGCTGGTTTCTCACAATCATTTTTCAACGCCCTTTGGCCGAACTACTATTTCATCGTGACGTCAGTATATGATTCGTGCCAAAAAAAAATATAAATAACACGTATTTAATGCAGGATCGAGTTGAAACGATACCTTCATTGAATGCAAAAGCACACCGACTTCATTGCGAGAACTTCTTGATTTTTTTTTCCTTGCCTCTCCCCGGATAAATTGATAGGCCAATCATCGCCGTGGCCTACCGTGCACCGTTGTTATTTGCGAAAGAAAAAAAGTGGAAGATGAGGAAGCGGAGCCTTGAGAAAATGCGCTCGATTGGATCGTCGTGCGGCTTGTCCTCTTTAATAATTATCAGATCCCAATTCCTCGCGGCGCTGGAAGAAATTCGTCCGCTAATTCAAATGAGCGACGCGCAAGCGGAATTGATTTCTTCGGCTTCTCGCTCTCTTTCTCGTGTGTCATCGTTTTATCACGTGCCGCTCGTCGTCGCGTCAGCGCGCCTCCGCCAGTAAACAGATTTAACCTATTTATCAAGTAGATTATTTGAAAAGAAAGATATAATAATAATAATAATAATAATAATAATAATAATAGGCGAACGAGCCTCGATCAATTATTCGCCCGCGCTACGGGTTCCAATAATATCGATCGAGAGAGTTCTGCAAATTCACGGCAATTGTTGCTCGCGAGGCGCAACACGAGATAGCACACGCACGCGGTGCGCGACAGACACATACAGAAGATCGACCGGTTTGTGTATAAGGAGTGCAGCGATCGGACAAGAATGCAGTGTGTGCCGTCGTTGTCGCTCGCGTGCAAGAGACGCATAGTAAACTGGTGGCGGAATTCCTATATATACGTCGCGCAGTTAAATGCTCATCGCCTTTAACGCACACACAATAATGTTCGATCGTTTAATTTAAGGCCGAATCGTTCTACTTGTTTATTACGTGGATTCGGGTGTTTGTTAAGTTTCGTTGGTAATTGGGAGATATGCGCTCGTGTCTTTGCTCTAATCGTCGTGACGAGCGATCGATTAATCACGTGATTCAAGCAAAAGTTTTCTCGATTCCCTGTGTTCTGTATAATCACAGAACAAACTTTCGTACGTTACTACGAATCCAATAATTTCAATAACACTCAATTAATAACGTAAAGTAATTAAAATTCAAAAAGCAAACCCTCCTCATTGCATTCATTCGTTTCGCCGAAACAACAATGAAACTCCATGCTGAAAATTTCAAGAGACGGCTAATTGTTGTGTTGCATAAATTAGCATTATAAATCAAGTGCTGCGATCTTCTCTCCTTGACTTGTAAAAGCGTCTCCCTCAAAAATTGCACATGAATGAGAGAGAGAGAGAGAGAGAGAGAGAGAGAGAGAGAGAGAGAGAGAGAGAGAGAGAGAGAGAGAGAGAGAGAGAACAGCAAAATTTTCGGTATTCGTAAGTGTAAAGCATCCACTTATGCGTTAGTAGTTTGCACTCGCGGGGATTCGAGGCGTTTACATCTTCCTCCTTCCTTCCTCGAGAAAGCTCGTGTCGTGCGACGTAGCGCCGCCGCCAGTGTGGAATCAGGGCGCACATTCGCTCGAATCGTGGCAACTCGTTTCGACTTGTTTGTTTTTTTTTTTTTTTAAACTTTCGCAGTCTGTCGGAAATCTTGCGAACAATGCCGGAACCAAAGTGTTCGCAAATATACTCGCATTAGTACGTTCGATCGTTGCGAGAATCGCGATCGTACCGCAAAAGTCGACGCTTGCTCTCGTCTACCTCTCTTTCTCGCTCGTTCTAATCATTCCACGTGCATTCAGACGCGAAATTGGCACGATCAGCAGCAGAAAGCGAAAAAAAAAAGAAAAAGCGAGTGATCGTGTCACGTGTCGATGGTCCTTTGACGTCACTCGTAGACAATAGTTTCATCGTTGGCGAGAGAAGTGTCCGATTGCAACGCCACAAGAAGACTGACATTGAGCTCAGTCGCACGTGCTCTCTCGCGATAAAAGTGCACGCGGGGAGCAGATGGTGCGCGCCGTCTTTTTTCTTTTTTTTTTTTTTTTTTTTTTTTCGCTCCTTTCTCTATCCGCCATTACAAGCTCGCGTGTAATATACGCGCGCGCGCCTCGCGGGCGAGCTCGCCACTGACGCTATTTAGTTGTGTTTGGCGCGTCGCCAGGCGCGCAGCGCTATCGATTGCCTATCGGTGGTGGAGGTTCGAGCTGCGAGCGGTAAGTGCAATACCTGGTCTCTCGGAGCACGAACCACCTGTCGCGAAGGCAGACGCGAGCCAGCTTGGTTTCTCGAGCTAGGCCGCCTCCCTGTCTGCCTGCCTGCAGAGGCGGCACATCGCTCAAGGGTCAATTAACCGTCGGCTCTCGCTCTCTCGACCCCCTTCGCTCGTTAATCTCGATCGCTGCCGCTTGGTGCAGTGCGTCACTCGATCGCCCTCCCCTGAACTTCGCCTAAAATGAAATTTCGGACGGGCGAGCGTGATCGCTCATGCGGACAGTCGCGTGTTTACCGCGGTTAACAAGACGGAAATCTCAGGTGCGAGAATGCGCGCGAGCGATAACGGATTAATCGATCCTTTCGATAATTCGCGGTAGACGCTTGGATTTGTTCGAGCGTGAGCGTAATTCAAGCTTGAAGCAAAAAAGTCAATTGTAATCTCTCGCCACGTGTTGTTGAAGTGCGCGCGCGCGGGCGAATGTCATTGAACCCAGAGCGTGCGAGATGTACGTGTGCGCCAGTTCCTTGAAACTTCACTTCACCGCCTTCTTTCTTTTTTTTTCTTCAGTCCGAAAAATACCAGTCACTCACTTCGTGTTCTTTTTTTTCTTTTTGTTCCAGGATGCTCGTCAGCAATAGATCCTATCTACTGGATCGACATCAAAAGTATTTGGATTGGCCAAGGGCCTCGTCATTATTCCTCGGAACACAGCAGCGACAGCATCAGCACACGCGCAATCGCACCGCTAATAATCATCGCTCGTAGTGAGAAGTTATGAATAGGCACTGGAGTGTTGTTGCGAACTTTTTAAACCGCGAATAAAAACAGATTGATAAAAACGGCAACAAAGATGACGTGCGGCTGCTCGAGTAGTTTTCTGGACGACGACGTAGTATTTTGCTGCGAACGGTTACGAGCTGCCGACGACGACGACGACGACGACGGTGGCGGCGGTGGTGACGACGACGACGACGACGACGACAATGACGACGACGACAACGATTGTCAAGCGGTCGATCATTGTCAGAGAATGCCCACGAGGGGAGTTCACAGTTGTCGTAGGTGGCAACCGCAGAGAGAAGTTAGCAGGTGTGCCGCTAGTGTCGTCAGATGGATTTTACCGATGGCCACGGTGATGATCATGGCGACATTTATACCTGCTTGTGCTGCTGCCGGTGCGTCGACGGCTTCGCTGAAAGGCGCCAACGCGACCACCGTCAGTTTGCCGAAAGATGGGGGTGAGTGCGAAATGCTTCTTCTCGTGTCGTCCCGTGAACGACATTCGCTAAAGTACAGATGTCCAACCGAACGCGCGCTTTGACTTTCTTTTCAATTGAATCGAAAGTATACGTTGCCGTCGCAACTTAAGTAGGACACGTTACCGCCGGACTGAGAGAGCGACGAATCTCGTAACTTGTCTTCCGCGCAGAAGAGAACAACATCGGTTACGCAATCGTGTTGAGGGAGTGCGAGGATGAATCCAGCTCGATCGCTCGATGCGTCGCGTGCGAGACGGGAGATTTGAAGCGCGCACGGCCCTCCCGAGCCTGCCTCGCACCTAGTCCTCGCGCACGAGGTGTCCGAGAAGGCCTATTCGCTCGACTTCCTCTCTCCTTGGAAATCCATACTGGCTCTTAATTTTATAAATACACATTTCCCGTTTGGTTTGCCTTTGCTCTCACCTCAATGCGCGACGTGAAACCGACCTCCTTCGTTCGCTATTCGAGTGGAAATCAAGCGTCGATGCTAATTTTCGTGCGTCCGATAGTTTTCGCTCGCGTTCGGCGAGTTTCGAGTATTATTTTCAACGGGGAGGCAGAAAAATAGAGGCACGAGAGCGCACGTACGGTTTTGAATTTTCATTCGTCGTTGTTGTGTCGCGATCGAGGCTACAAGCCTTAAACCCATCAAAGTCGCCGCTTTTAATTCGCCAAATGACCGTTAACTGTGACGACCGCACGTGAAACGAAGAATCTCTGTATTCAATGTTGTTTACTCGCGCGAGAGTTGGAAACTAATTATATCCGCAGAAAAACATCCTCGTAGTACAATTAGATCATTTCTATTTCAATCTCTCTTGTCAGAGTATCGGCGCGCGTGTCTAGTAGTGTCGACGAACCGCGAAAATTTCGAGCAACTATGTAATCGAAGCGCCGACGATGACGCATCGCGCGCGCGAGAGCAGCAGTTGAAGTAGTTGTGCGCGCGACACAGAGTGGGAGATGTAAGTTCCGTGACGGAGAGTTTTCGGCAAGTGCGCGCGTCGCTGCTTCGCGACCGATGACGATATTCGGCCTCGTTGAAATTCCAAGCGCATGCGAAAAAACTATATCGGAATTCGCACCTCGTAGCGTGTTTGATCTACTCGAGCGAAGAGCAATGCGCGAATTTGAAGTTTAATCGGTTCGTTGATAGCAGCGTTCGCATCCGGTGGGCATTGATTGTAGTACGTGTTGCAAGTTTAATATTGAAGAGCCGCTGAAGCGCCTTGAAAAATTCAACGCCACCCGACACAGACGGGATCGAAATACTCGTTAATTGAAGATGCCGAGAACAGCGTCGTATAAAAAAGAAAGCTCTTAGCACGCATACTTCTCCTACTTCCCAATTCGAGACATTGCCGATAGATATACAAGATCGTGTACCCTTCCGCCGACGACGCACGCGAAGACTGCCGTATTAATTTGGCCGCCCACGTCGGCCACTCACCTCATGAATATCATATCTTTTTTCAATGTAACGTCGGGTTCGCGTCGCTGCTTTTTTTACGCTAATTACGCATCGTGCTATTCTTCTTCGCGGGCGACGTTGTTCGTTCCTCACGAAGTATGCAATTGATGGTACCATAAAAAAAAAATTAGCAATTAACTTCAGCGATTACCAAGTTCGAAGAACGGGTTTGAAAAATACAATTAGTCTTCGGTCGCTGTCATTGAGTCATTCTCGATCATTTATCCAATATACAGCTTGAAACTTCATTTGCAATTATTCCGAGAATCGATTTACTCGATGGACCTTTTGATCTTTATCGAAAAAATAGCATCGTTACTTTCACCATCAAAAAAAGATTCTTCAAACGTTCATTGTGTCGTGTAATTGTGATGATTCGCCGTTTCGATCCGTTCGTACCTTATTATCTCAAGGGTAATTATTAAGCTGACCACGGGTGTAGAAAAGTTTCAGGGTGAAGCTTTATAGCTATTCCGCGTACGGACGCGGCAGCACACACACGAGCGCGCGCCTGCGCATTATCACGTGCTCGCTCAATCCAGGCAAAGATTCAATTAGAATTAAAATTGCTCGTAAGAGTTCTCACTACTGTTCCAATCAGCTATTTCAAATAAATCCCGAAAACATGCAGTCAGACGTAAATCTTGATCAAAAGTTAGAGTAGCTAGATAATAGTTTTACCTTACTTCAAATTCTTATTTTCAGTAGTTACAAAATTACTTCTTGCCGATAAATCTGTTTTAAAAGCTATTTTCCCACCTATTTTAAAACATTTCCAAACGTTCCAAACAATGATTCATTAAAATCCATTTAGTAGAAAAGTTAGCTGACAGAAAACACATATCCTCACAGACAGACGTCAGAATAATGACTGCCGTCTATTAATGAATTACGACCCGAAATATATAGGATAGGTTTTCATTAAATACGCCCAGAAGGCCTAGATTTTATAAAAAAGTAAAGATTGAAATATGTAATGGCAAAAATAAAAAGTCTGTGGTGAAAGATGAAGAACTTTTAAAGAAAAAAAATAAAACAAAACTTCCTCTGCCAGAAAGCAAAAGAGGGGAGGGAGAGACTCGATTTCAATGAAGTATATTTTTGTACGTGAAGCCATAAGTTTTCGACGATGCCAGAGGGCACAGATTTTAATCGGGCTCAGGTTTACTGTTGATAAATTAATGCAATGTTCGTGTCGTTTGAACAAATACTCAATATTCGCAAATAGCTTTGCAACGATAGAACGATGATGATAAAAGCCGGATGGAAGCGTAAGTTTCTGCGCAGTACATGGGAAAACAAAAGCGAGGCGCAGGTATAATGCAAGACTCATGACAAACGAGGTCCTTGCAGGATAAACCGCAAATCGTTTTGTAATTCATAGCTATATCATAATTAAACGTCGATTTATCGGGAACAACTGTACTTAAATAAATGCGATTGAGCGAGCGCTTGTGTCGACAACGGAATTACTTTGGTAAATCATCGTTGTAACGCCCGAAGTAAGCAATTCCACATAGTCTCTCCTTCTCCTTTCTCCGCAAGCTATTCCCGCGTCGTTGAGAGGGAGCGGAGAAGTCGTTGCTGAAGTTTGTACACTGAGAGAATTCATATGATAAAATTTGCCATAATCCGTAGTCAAAATTGCTACGAAACATATAGTAATCATGGGATTAACTTTGACTGCAGTCAAAATTGCTATCTAACATGATGCATGAAAATTCTCCTCCCACAGCCTTCCTAAAATATTAGGGGAGACTGGTTGCATACCTCTCATAAATATAGGGAACCAAAACTAATGCATATAGATACCTAGTGTATCTCTGCAGCGATCCAAGTTAACGTACTTTTTCAACCAACAATCACACAATAACAATATAGTAATATTTACCATTTTTGAAGTTTCACTATTGAACATAGTAAAATTTACTAGAACCTAGTGCAATTGATACTATAAATAGATTACAAAAGATTAGCTCGGTAAATTTTACTGTTACACAGCAATTTTTTCTTCTTCGGCAAATTAAATTAAAGCGTTATATTTAATTCAAATTATTCTCGAAGGTTAAATTAATCTTGTAATCTTGAATTTCTTTAGAATAAGGCGTATACGGTTCATCGATACCTTACCGTTATAACCTATTACACGCATGATTCAGACTGACATTTTTTTATATAGCAATCAAACGTTGATTCTGTCACTTGCAAGAATTGAATTGCCATCTACACGTAGCCCTTGCAACTTATTATCTAAGTAGTTGTTTCTGCGCAATGTGCAGAGTTGTTACTGCGCACGCGTTAGGGACTTCAATCCGACCCTAGTAATTTTTGCCATGTTTATTCTAAAGATCTTTCGAAACATAACCGCTTTTATTATTTGTTGTAACAAAACTTACAATATCGTCATATAAAAATTATTATGGCTGTAGTAGACATAAATAACAATTTAATAAATTTTATAATGACTGTAGTATACCCCACGGTCACTGTGTTTTGTAGTAAATTTTACTGCAACTATAGCGAATTTTATTATAGCGATTCTCTCAGTGTAAGGAGAAGTCGAAGAGCGAGCGTTCGCTTCAAGCGAAGCAGAGGGAGAGGGAAAAAGACGATACGAGGGAACAAACGACGAAAAAAGAAAAAAGAAACCTCGATGAAAAGAGAACCTCGAGAGAATATCATGCATGCCTTCATCTTGTGAATTTCACCAGAGAGCGAAGCTTGTCGAACGCGTTCGCGTTGGTCACTCAACTACCTAATTTATCGACGATGTATTTATTTCTCTATTCAATTATTTTACCAAGATACAATTGACGGTAATACAATACTAAGTTAGAGCATACTGTCGAAACTTGTAGAGACACATTTTTTACTAATGTTGAACTGCTTTCTAATAAGTTTTTCATTTTTTTTCCTCTTCCTTGCACGTCCATGAGATATTCTTGAGAAAACATAACGAAGTTACTCGCGTGAAAGATGAAGATGAGATTTCTTGTTTACCTCCCCCATCATCGTAAAAATGACTTGATGCTTCTTTTCCCCGCTTCTTCTTCGTCTTCTCCTTCCTTAGAAGAGAGCTGCAAAGTAGTTAGAGGTGTTTCGACAGTCGGTGGCCTTGTAAATAAAATCGAAGTCGATTTTTTCATACGGATCATGGTGTTCTGCTTTGATTACTTTACCACGAAAAAGAGATAAAATATTCAATTTCAGACTGTTGTGCTTCAAATGAAATCGAGCCTTCGCGCCAAATTTACCCACATCTGAAGCAAGAGAAAGAGAGAGAGAGGGGGGGGGGGGGAGCGAAAAAAAAGAAGCAAAGCTAATTAAGAAACAACAAGTAAGCGCACTGTGACGCGAATTTGGTTCTTTTTGTTCTTGCACTGGCTCACAAAACACGTAGGAGTATGCTAATGAACTTGAAGCAAGTAACGGCGGCGATTTAACGCAAGTTTCGTCGGTTGCACATTGAAGAATGTGATGACGACGATGACCGCTAGTATATAATAGA